TTTAATGAAATTAAGTGACCAGGTTTTCTTAAAAATTATACATATAATTATATTAATGATTTAGCGCAGAATATGTTAGAATTTGGTGTAAACCTTGGCATAAACCTCATATCCCTAATACCGTTTTCCGCATCGTGTCAAAAGCCTATGACCTTCAAAATAAGTTAATATAATACCACATTTGATTGGAATGTATTCACGATTTCGTCGAACAATGAAGTTGAACCATTTCACCATTAAAAACTGTTTTTCGAAAACTCGTTTTCAAAAAAGTGTGAGTGAAATCTCTGACTTCTATGCAGAGGACGATATTACCATATTGACGTTATCGGTGTTGATAAAGCTTTTAGCATTCGGACGACTTTTTGTTACTCGACGAAATTGTTAACACAGTAGACAATAATATTGTTGTAGAGAAACCTATGACCTAAATGAAGTATGTGTCCAGGATGCCGGTCAAATTAAATCATGTGCTGAAGCACTAGAACAACTTCGCCGCATTAAAAAATTAGTTAGTGACGACGTTACTGGAAACTGTTTAATAGCACAGAATCAAGGATTTTTCAAAACTACGGTATGAGAATTTTTGAAAAATCAAGCATAAATCAAGCATAGTATGTACACAAACGAATTTTTATAGCTATGATACATCTCAAGAAATATGTAAATTAAATTACCAAGAAATATAATTTATTTAAGTGTATATATATTTTAGTAAAATTTTTATTTGTCCACTCCTATAAGTGGACACCACTCATAAGCGGACAAAAAATGGGGAACCGTCAGTGTCCGGATGTGGGAGGTTTCACTGTATATTATTGTATATCCATCTAAAACTATAAACCACTGTTAGAACAAATTCATACTCGACAATAGTCCTCAGGTTAAATAATTTTCAAAGTTGAGTTAAAAGCCTTCAACAATTTAGTTGTATGTCTAACAAGGGACATTATGCTCTTCGATAGTTTGAAATTTAAGTTATTAAAAAAATTTCACGTTTGAATAAAGACACCAACAAACTAGCGGTCAGAAAACTAACCAACTAACTGAAAGTAACTCAGTATGACAGCTATGAATTTTAAAAGGAATGTAATAACTATGTATGGAGGCTTGTTAAGTGCTTAATAGAGCATAAATAGTCTGTTACTTCGAGAACTTGAGAGAAGCATTAAACCAAGCATTAGTTTCGGCCATTCCTATTCTCTTATTCTTTTTATTAGTATACTATTTGGCTTTTTATGTCTAAATATGACCTCTGAAGGGAATATAAACTTTTTTAAAGTGGTCGTGAGGACATAAATGAAAAATGAGCCGAAACCAAAAAAATCGCGCCTGGAGAAGTCAAAAGTGAAGACAATGCTGATTTGTTTTTATGATTCCATGGGTATTGTCCACAAAAAATTTGTTCCACCCGGCTTTTGAACCATTTGGTGCGCCGTATTCGACGTGTTCGCGTATCGCAAAGATGGAAGTTGGTGTTTGTTGCACGATAATGCGCCGTCTCATCGATCGACGCTTTTGGCCGATTATTTGAATAAAAATCACATTTTAACAATCAACCACTCCCCGTATTTACCTTATATGGCACCGTGCGACTTCTACCTTTTCGGAAAAATGCATTTGCCGATAAAAGGAAAGCGTTATGCAGACGTGAAGGCCATTCAAAAGGCTTGCACCGGCATACTGGCGGCTATACCGGGCAACGAGCGAAAACACTTGTTCGACATGCTTTTGGACCTATTTGGAACTATTTTCAATATTTTAAAGTTTTAAAAATGTGTTTTCTTCTCTTCATTTGTAAAGAAAGACATTATAAGTTAAAGCAATTTCTAAACATAACCTAAAAATAAGGATTTTAGATTTAAAAATGAATATCTTATTTAATTTTCGTGTTAGAAAACCACACGGATACTTTTTACTTCAAGTTATATGAATTAACTAGAAACAAATGGTTCTCGTTATGCTTTCATAAATGTACTTTCAAATTAATTGTATGAATATAATTTGATATCAGTAGTTAGAACAAAAACCAAAATGCAATCACACTCATATAGTTTGTTCTAATCAACATAGACACATTGAACTTTAAACTTTCCAGCTAGAAATACAAACACATATTCATGTAGGTATAGATACGTCGTACGTGAATGTATTTGTGTATTTATAATAAATATCATGTAAGCTCTAATCGCTGTAATTCAATGTTCAGTAATGGCTGAATAAATAACTTTTAATACATGCTAGTTTTAATTATAGGTTTGAACGAATAAATTAAAAGTTAATTAAAAACTAAATAAATTATAAAAGTAAGTTGTTTACCTATATACATACATGCAAACATTTATTTTAAAATTGTTTGTGTACAAGTGCATAATTTTATAAACAATAAGTTTCTAAGTAAATATAGTATATACCATATTATGTAGCTGCACATAGGTGTATTACTTGTACATACGACAGCCACTTAAGATATATTAATGGCACTAATTTAAATATTAACCTTTTAACTTTTAAAAATACATACGAATTTTATTTGATTTATTTAACCTACACTTCGAGTTTATTTTTATTGAAAAAAGTCACTCCTCAAAAAAAAGTTTCTATAATTGTAGTTGTTGGGACTTTCGAAACCCAGACAACTTACTACCAACTGCCAGTAACGCACACAATTCACTTGCCTTCACTGTCTTTGCATAACTTTGCATTAAATATATACATAATAACAATACAAACCACAACAATTCTGCATATTAGGCAGTTGAATTGGACAATATTATTTATGAGACAGAGGGGGTGCAGAAAAGCTCTTTGCTATTGTTCGAACAAAATTTTTTCAAAAATATAGATACCAATCCTCAAAAGCAAAACAAATATCATACATATACAATATAAATACTAAATATCTTGTGGCGCTTAAAGAAAGAAATCATTTTATATGAAAATATAGAATAAATACTATTTACAGATGCTTGCATTGTTATAATTTAGATAATAGTATGTATGAACATGTAATATATCTGTACTCATATTAATTATTCTCTTTTTTCGAAACTCATATTTTGCTTACTTCATCGTCTTTCGGTGTAATTAGATACTCAGTAACAAATGTAAATTTTAAATGTGTGCAAATTGTTATTTTGCATACAAGTGCATTATCGCACATACATTTAATCGGCATTTTGAAACATTTTAGGCTTCGAATATCAAAATAATTCGTGCCCTTATTTTGTATATACAAGCAGTTAATATTGGCTTTCCAATGTTAATGACATGGTACAAATTTCACAATAATGATACCGATAAAACCCACATATGTAAATTTGGATATATCCACATAAAAAATTATTCGAAAAAAATCTATTTTCTACTCACTGAAATTAAGAACCTCGTTCAAAACTACATGTTTAAATTTTAAACTTTTACTTACTGACCTCATTTCGCTGACTTGTAGCCTAGATTTGGCAGTTTATTAACACCTCAAATGAAAAAGGAACAACATGAGGTGGTTGTGTTTGGATACAAAACTTAACAAGTAAGGAAGGGCTAAGTTCGGATGTAACCGAACATTTTATACTCTCGCAAAGTCAAATGGTATACTCGTTTGAGATTTCTTTGTGGATTGACTAATATTTTCGTTAGAAGGTCAACTATAGGCACTGTGGTCCACATATTTAGTACTTAGGGGCTTGAACAGTTTTGGCTCGATTTAGACAATTTTTGATCACAAGTGGGCATACTTTAAACGCATTATTCACACAAAGTTTTACCCCGATACAATCATTCTTGCTTGATTTGCATACTGGAAAGTGAAAGAATCAGATGGAATTTAAAATGGTGTTATATGGGAAATAGGCGTGATTGTAATCCGCACTATAACATAGAGATAAGAGAAGAACGTCATGCACCAAATTTGGTTGAAATCGGTTAAGCAGATCCCAAGATATGGGTTTTCACCTAAAAGTGGGATGTGCCACGCCCACTGTCTAATTTTGAACGCGATTCCTACAAAGTTATCTCATACCATCCCAGAGATAAAATTTAATGTCTCTGGCGTGTTTAGTGCTTGATTTATCGCGCTTTTAGTAGCTTTTAACGATACCGTTATATGGGGAGTGGGCTGAGTTGCAACCCGATTTCAACTATTTTCACACTGTAGGTAGAGGTTCTAAAAATATTTGCTTCCAGTGAATTTTGTTATTATAGCATTAGCGGTTTAGGAGATATGCACATTAAACCTATTAAAAGCGGGACTACGACCACTTAAAAAAAAATTTAACTGCAGATGCCCCTCCCTAATGTGATCCTGTGTACCAAATAACAATCTTATATCTTATTGTGGATCGTAGTTATGGCAATTTATTTGTTTTTGATTAATGGCGTTTTGTGGGCGTGGCAGTGGTCCGATTACGCCCATCTGCAATACCAACCGTCTCACGGTACCAAGAAACATGTCTACCAAGTTTCATAAAGATATCTCAATTTTTACTCAAGTTAGAGCTTGCACGGACGGACGGACGGACGGACAGACAGTCACACGGATTTCAACTCGTCTCTTCATCCTAATCATTTATATATATATATATAACCCTATATCTAACTCGATTATTTTTAGGTGATACAAACAACCGTTAGGTGTACAAAACTATTATACTCTGTAGCAACAGGTTGCGAGAGTATAAAAATAATTCCTAAGGTATTAGTCACAGTGGGGAATCGGATTATGATAAAGTGAAACGTATTTGAATTGCTTAAAATGTATAATTTTTATTCTTTCTATAAAAGTAAAAAACGAAACTTAAACAAAACAGCAAGAAGCCTAAAATATCGCTGCAGCAGCTGCATGCAGTACCAGTACAAGTACAAGTATGAGTCTGCCTTTAAAACGAAACGAACAAAATTTACCAATACAACTGATTTTAGTTTTATCGCTAATTCTACATTATCCACTTCCATTACACAGATTGATTAGTCCGCCAAACGTTTTGTTTAAAAACTCTCACCTTAGGCACATAGCAGTAAAGAAACTTGTGCTCCTTATCCACAATCATATGACCCATTTGCTTATCCGTTAGATCATCCAGGGTGAGAGCGCTATAACCCAACGTTTCACATTGTTTCTGCAAATATTCCTGTCGCTGTATATTAATGGTCTGTGTTAGTTCCAGGCTGTGTTCGGCAATTTTTACATTGTTATTGTTGCCTTCCTCAAATGCAGCGCGGATGAGGTCAAATTGCAGCATACATATAAAAATAAGCGCGAACAAAGTAATGAACAAGGACTGACGGCAGCAAATTGAATTCGCCTCCGTTGACGGCATCATCATCTTTGTATTCTTAGGCTGGCGGCTGGCATACATGCGTCGTTGCGACACAATACCACGATACGGTTATATGTGTAAGGGGTTTGGTAAAGATTTCGTGATTTTGACTTCTTACTTTTTGTGCGACGCGGTGATAGTAGTGGTGGCGAAATGATGTGAGACATGGAAATCTTGAAAAGTTTTAACATTTGAATTCCGGAGGCTTATACACGCACACTTTGCTTTATACAATATCGTTTGGTTTGCACTGCTTAACACTTTCAACTTGCTTGTTATTCTTTATTTTTATTTTTTTATATTTCGAATTTATTTTAAACGAGAAAATGCATTTTTTGGTATTATTATGGATATAATGGTTGCACTGGTTATTTTCGGCGACGTTTGTAGTATATTTCACGTTTGCAAAATCGTAATGTTAAACCGTTTTCTATGCCACATTCACTCAACAATTTACGTCCGTCGTGGTCGAAAAGCGGCGTTTTGGTATGAGCGTCGATCAACATGTAGGCGCGCCATAAAAAACGCCATGAAACCGTCGTTCGATGTGGATGACCGCAGCGCGTTGTGGAGTAAACGAATTCTCCGGTGCTTCTGTTGGCCGCCAACCAAGCGGCATTAGTTTCAACCTGATGTTGACGTTGCTGATATGCTTCCATTCTGTTGTCCATATGGTCGGAGTTATCGTTGCTATTGCTCGCATTTTCAGTTTCTTCGGACATACGTAGTCTGCGTCGTCGGCTCTCGTATCGCTCACGCAACTCTCTTTTATGTTGTACACGTGCAGTTGATTCGATTGCTCTCTTTAAATTAGCTATTGTTGGATGTGCCTGAGGCAACTAATGGAAAAAAGAAAACAAAAAACTTAGATTAAAGCCTCCGTAGGCCATGAAAGGTTTAGAACAACTTTTACACACATATGCACATACATATACGAAATTCTTAAATAACTTGATTGCTTGATTGAACTTTAGAGCAGCAATAAAATAGACAAATAAAATTTGTAAGTAATTAACGTAAAATGTAAGTTTATAATGATTACAGTTGCAACTTTTAAGTTTTTATTTAACATCAGAAATCGTAAAAACTGTGAAGTTTATTAGATAAATAGCTGTGTCTAGAAAGGTGTAAGAATTAGCCAAATTAAAAGTCACGCCACCATAAATTGACATACTAGCTGACACCTTAGCACTTTTTCATATATATGTATGTATAGGTATATACACCTATATATTCATTGACAGGTATATTTGTACATAAGCAATATAAGACAAATAAAAATCGGGCTTGGCTCAGACAAGTTGTAATAGGTGAGCGCTCTTATGTTTTCGTATTTCATAAATGCCACTGTAGGAAAAACATAATTGTGGTAACTTGTGGTGCAAGCAATAACCGTTAACCGGTTTTTGTATTTTTTTAAGGCAACAATTACAATTTATAAGTATACATGCAAATACGGGTATACCCTCAAAACCAAACTTGGTTCGGAAGGCAACACTTTCAAACATAGCGTATATAATACTCATACCAATCTTCAGATATCTGATCCAATTTTTTTCGAACCCCATGAATTAAATAACGCTCTACATCCGGTAGTATATATCAGTATTTTTATACTCTCGCAACCTGTTGCTACAGAGTATAATAGTTTTGTTCACCTAACGGCTGTTTGTATCACCTAAAACTAATCGAGTTAGATATAGGGTTATATATATATATAAATGATCAGGATGAAGAGACGAGTTAAAAGCCGTGTGACTGTCTGTCCGTCCGTCCGTGCAAGCTCTAACTTGAGTAAAAATTTAGATATCTTTATGAAACTTGGTAGACATGTTTCTTGGTACCGTGAGACGGTTGGTATATGGGCGTAATCGGACCACTGCCACGCCCACAAAACGCCATTAATCAAAAACAAATAAATTGCCATAACTACGCTCCACAATAAGATACAAGATTGTTATTTGGTACACAGGATCACATTAGGGAGGGGCATCTGCAGTTAAATTTTTTTTTTAAGTGGGCATAGTCCCGCCCTTAATAGGTTTAATGTGCATATCTCCTAAACCGCTAATGCTATAATAACAAAATTCACTGGAAGCAAATGTTTTTAGAACCTCTACATACAGTGTGATAATAGTTGAAATCGGGTCGCAACTCCGCCCACTCCCCTTATAAGGGTACTGTTAAAAACTACTAAAAGCGCGATAAATCAAGCACTAAACACGCCAAAAACATTAAATTTTATCTCTAGGATGGTATGAGATGACTTTATAGGAACGCCTTCAAAATTAGTCAGTGGGCGTGGCACCGCCCACTTTTGGGTGAAAACCCATATATTGAGATCTGCTTAACCGATTTCAACCAAATTCGGTACATAACATTCTTCTCTTATTTCTATGTTATAGTGCGAAAATCGGATTACACCACGCCTATTTCCCATATAACACCATTTTAAATTCCATCTGATTCTTTCACTTTCCAGTATGCAAATCAAGCAAGAATGATTGTATCGGGGTAAAACTTTGTGTGAATAATGCGTTTAAAGTATGCCACCTTGTGACCAAAAATTGTCAAGCCCCTAAGTACTAAATATGTCGACCCCAGTGCCTATAGTTGACCTTCTAACGAAAATGTCAATCAATCAATCAAAACGAGTATACCATTTGACTTTGCGAGAGTATAAAATGTTCGGTTACATCCGAACTTAGCCATTACTTGTTATAATTTATTTTAAAAAAATCTGTAATCCTCTAACATATTATAATCAAGTAAGGAAGGATTAAGTTCGGGTGTAACTAAACATTTTATATTCTCACAATTTTCAAAGGTCAAAGACGGGGCATAACTTAAGGTATTGGTATAAGGGATCGCATTAGGGAGGCGCATCCGCAGTTTATAAAATTGGGGGGACACCGCTCTCTAATAGGTTTAATGTACATGTCTCCTAAACCGCTAAAGCTATAACAACCAAATTCACTCAGGACAAATCTTTTTAGCACCCCTACTGTGTGAAAATGAAATGATAACCCCCATATAACGGTTTTGTTAAAAAAACATTTAAAGTGCGATAAATCTATAAATAAATGCGCCAGAGACATAAAATTTTATAGACGAGATGACAGTAGATGGCTTTATAGGCGCCGCTGCCAAAATTGGACGATGGGCATGGCTCGCTGATATTTAGGTGAACGCCCATATCTCAAGACCTGCTCGACCGATTTTTACCAAGTTCGGCATGTAACATTATGGTATACTGGCATTTCTATTATATGTAACAGTATGACAACGGGACAAAATGGACTACAACCACGCATACTTCCCATATAACACAATTTTAAATTTCATCTGATTCTTTCACTTTCCAGTATACAAATATGACACCAATGTATATAACGGGATGAAACTTTGCAAGAATAGTGCTAGGTCGTGGACTCACTTAGTTTAATTACTACAATTTGCTTCGTGTGCGAAATATTTAATGTGATATAAACTCAATCAAAGGGGATATTTTAATATATATTGATATTCATATTCAGCGCTAAACCACATTATGACTCACATACTGACCGACATATTCGACACTTCTAGAAAAACGAAAACCATTATATTGTATATAAAATGTAGGAGCTTGGGTAATTCTTGGATCAATTTTTGGCATCATGCCAAACTATTATCAGAAAAAAAATGTTCTCGGAGTGATCGATATATATAATATAAAGTCAATCGAAACTTTCAAAATTCTTATATTAAGTATATATGGGCCGATAATATGCATTCACCCGATTTTACCCACTCTTGACCGTAGTTCCTGGGCTTTGTCATTTCACGTAAAAATGAGTGGTGCTACTCCCATCGCTCATTTTTCACACCGACTCACAGGGAGGGGTCTTTTTATACCCTCGCAACATGTTGCTGCAGAGTATAATAATTTTGTTTACCTAACGGTTGTTTGTATCACCTAAAACTAATCGAGTTAGATATATGGTTATGTATATATAAATGATCAGGATGAAGAGACGAGTTGAAATCCGGGTGACTGTCTGTCCGTCCGTCCGCCTGTGCAAGCTGTAACTTGAGTGAAAATTGAGATATCTTTATGAAACATGGTACACATGTTTCTTGGTACCATAAGACGGTTGGTATACCAGTTGGGCATAATCGGACCACTGCCACGCCCACAAAACGCCATTAATCAAAATACAAATAAATTGCCATAACTAAGCACCACAATAAGATACGAGACTGTTATTTGGTTTACAGAATCACATTAGGGAGGGGCATCTGCACATTAAAATTTTTTTTTATATTATATATCTCCTAAACCTCTAAAGCCTTAAAAAAAAACCTATCGACATTGTGAAAATGGATGAAATCGGGTGACAAGACCGCCCACTCCCGATAAATCGGTACTGTTAAAAACTACTAAAAGTGCGATAAATCAAGCACCAAACACGCCAGAGTCATTAAATTTGATCTCTGGGATGATATGAGATGACTTAATAGGAACCGCGTTCAAAACCTTGGGATCTGCTTAACCGATTTCAACCAAATTCGGTACATAACATTCTTCTCATAGATCTACAAGGTGCTTTCCAAAGTTAACAGGACTTAAAAAAAAAAGACAGAACAAATGGTTTTATTGGCAAAATCAATTAATTTTATTCAAAATAGTCTCCTTCTGCTTTAATACAGCTTTTCGCACGGTCCAAAAGCATGTCGAGCGAGTGTTTTCGCTCGTTGCCCGGTATAGCCGCCAGTATGCCGGTGCAAGCCTTTTGAATGGCCTTCACGTCTGCATAACGCTTTCCTTTTATCGGCAAATGCATTTTTCCGAAAAGGTAGAAGTCGCACGGTGCCATATCAGGTGAATACGGGGAGTGGTCAAGGCGCGATTTTTTTGGTTTCGGCTCATTTCTCATTTATGTCCTCACGACCACTTTGAAAACTTTGAAACCACTCGTGCACTCTGCTACGGGATAAGCAATCATCGCCATAAACTTGTTTCATCAATTGAAACGTTTCGGTAAAAGTTTTACCAATTTTAAAACAAAATTTTATGTTGGCTCTTTGTTCGAAGCTCATTTTCGCACCGATGACAAAAACATACTGACACTTAAAACGCAATAACTTCACTTCCAATAGATGAAATTACATGAAATTTTTACTGGAAGTCGATAAAGGATAGCAGATTCTAACGCACTAGACATATAGATGGCGCCACTAGAGTTTACTTTGTTACTTTTTTACTGTTTACTTTGGAACGCACCTTGCATGTTATAGTGCGAAAATGGGCTAAATCGAATTACAACCACGCCTATTTCCCATACAACACTGTTTTAAATTTCATCTGATTCTTTCACTTTTCCCTATGCAAATCAAGCAACAATGATTGTATCGGGGTAAACCTTGGAGTGAATAATGCGTTTAAGGTAAGCCAAATTGTGACCAAAAATTGTCTAAATCGAACGAAAACTGTTCACGCCCCTACGTACTGAATATGTGGACCCCTATAGTTGACTTTTTACCGAAAAAGACGGTCAATGTGTAAGATACTTGTATATAATTGAAATTTATATAATAAAATTAATAACTTAAAAAATCGATAATAGTATGTTTTTTGTGCCAAAAATGGGTTGAATCGGATCAATACTTCCTTCAATATACAATTTTGCCAACACCTGACGTAATTTCCCTTGCAAGCTGCGAGAGTATAAAATGTTGGGTTACACCCGAACTTAGAACTTCCTTACTTGTTTATTGAAAAATTTATTGCTCTCCCGTTTTTATATAGCGATTTAACAAATGATTCAACAAGCTTGGTTTATATAGCCTGAAAACCACAGATGTCCCTCTTTACAATGATCATATGGTGGCTTGGTATATCATTTTACATTTTTTTGATCATCACAGGGATCCGATTTTACCTATCTGCAATACCAACCTCTTCAACTTGTCAAGGTAGATGTGTACCAAGTTACAGAACCGCAACAAGAGACTCAAGTAGCTAGCCATCCTTGGGGCAAGAACAAAGAGACGTTATTAGCAACTTATACGTACATGGCAATCGGTCTACCGGTCATCAACCACGTAGCCCCAATAATTTCGCCAATCAGAGCGGTGAGCGGAGGCTTTTTCTACCTGGTGTATGTTTGTACTATATAGGTATAATTTAAATCGCCATTAATGTTAATTAAATGCAAATGATTCAGTTTGCTATAACTAACAAAACATTAGAAAAACTGTGTCTACCGTCTGTATAGATTATATATATTATCTAACGACAGCATTCAGGAGGACCACTGTATTTATTGCCGCTTAAAAGCATTTATAACATAAAGATAACAACAAATATGATAATATACATTTACATAAATGACGAAATATCACTACTATTGACGCAAATGGCTCACGACCTTGAACTTGAAGCATAAATCATCAAGAAATAATGCACAATTTGAATAGGCAGCAACCACTTAAGATGCTAAATATTACGTGATGTTAATTAAGCTGCAAACTTTCATTTATAAAAAAACATTATAATAAATTTAAATCACAAACATTCATTTAAGCATAGATTTTATTTGTGTCTTCCTTGTCACCATCGCTGTCACTGTTGTTTATACTGTAGCAACATGTAGCACAGAGTAGAGTAGTTTTGTGTTTTGTGTATATCCCTTAAACTAATCGAGACTGATGCATATATATGTAGTTATGTATATCAAAATATATAGGAATTAATTTTCGATAACTTCAGTAAGATATATTAATAAAACGGGGAAAGGAATTCCATTTAAGGGGTTTCACGGCTTCAAAAAAAGTTTATTTTTTTTTCATTGTCTTCTTTAATTCTATAACATTTCTAGAATATTGTCCTAAGTTCTCAAGTTGACCCGAGTTATAGTTTTAAAAAATACAGCCTTGAAAAGTTACGCGCTCGAGGTCAGCTATATAGTCACTTTAAACTTTAAACTGTGTTTTCAAAGTCGGTTGTCAACATTCATCGCAAACTAATCAACCGATCTTATGAAATTTTACACAGGTCATCAAGATATAATTTACGTCTTGAACGAAGTATTTTCTTTTTGTTTAATTACAACTATTAAAATAAACCAAAACGTCGATAATAGCATTTTATCTGTAAAAACGTCTGCCAAAACTACAATTTGATTCCTGTAAGAAGTTTTGCTGTCAACGCGGAGGCACCCTTTTTTCCGAGGGACTGCCGGAAAAGACGTCGTAATGGCCGAGTTTTGAATATTTTTTTTTGTTTTGAAAATTTCACAAAATCCTTGTAAAATATGTATCTTTTGAATAATAAAAAGTTTGAATAAAATAATTTATGTTTTATATAAAATAGACCGTTTTTTGCTCGATGAAACACATGTAACCCCTTCAGTCTGAAGACTGAGAATATGGCGCCATTAAGGGAATATTTAAATTCTTATTAAAAGAGAATCGTTACTCCTTTTGGTATATTTATATATAATATTATATATGTATATTCATTTGTAAGCATTTCCAGTTCATTTGCTGGGGAATACGATCCCCAATTATAGTTTGTAGCTACTCAATGTTGTGACTACATATTTATGTACAAGTACGTTTGAATTTGCTTAGATCAATTATTATTTCTACAATAAATTATTTTCTTCTCACTACAAAATCTTTGTCATAATGACCCAGATTCAAAAGTAACCTGCTAAGTGATTATGTTTATTTGCTCAAACAGTTAGCGTATAATAATCCAATAGCAAAATTTAAATTGTTCTGGGAATCAAAACAACAACATACAGCAAGAAGTAGTAGTATAGTTTTATTTTAAGTGATTTAAGACTTAAGTCTTAAGTGATTTTAAGTGATATTAAGTTTTATATTGATAATTGCTATTGTTTTTAAATTGTTTATGTTTCATATACATTTTATTCTTTATAATATCATTGCAAATTAAACTATCAGATTTCAATTCGATTAAACCGGAAGAGAACTGCTGGCGTAAACAACTTAAGAAATGAACAACTTGGCAGTCTTAAGGGGTATTCTAGTTTAAAAATAAAATAGAATCGTTTTTTTTTTATATTTTCAAAGTTTAACTATTCAAGAATATGTCGACAAGAAGATATTTCGAAATTCGAATTATTTTGGGAGATATATCTATGTACATAGGTAGTCGGAGATATAGGTATACGTGAAACTATAAACGCGTTTTTCAAAACGATGCCAATTTCTCAGCATTTACTTGATCGATTTAACTAATATTTTTAGAGACTTGTTACGTCTGAAACTATCCATATCCCCAAATATAAATTTTTATAACTTTAAAAAATTCGAAAGATATATTGCCAAAAAAAAGTCGTCCATTCAAAAACTTAATTTTAATCGTTCAGTTTGTATGACAGCTGTGGAAAATATTTTATGCCAAATTTCGCGAAGATACCTTGCAAAAAAAAAAATTTCCATACTGGGACTTGCGTTTGATTGTTCAGTTTGTATGGCAGCTATGTATGTATTATATAATATATGCTATAGTGGTCCAACACACAGTGGACAAGTGAGCGGCTTCTTGGAGAGAAACGGTCGTGTGCAAAATTTCAGACCGATATTTTAAAAACTGAGGGAGGGAGGACTAGTTCACGTGTATACACACACATGGGCGGACAGACAAACAAATATGGCTAAATCGATTTAGAACTTAAAGCTGATCAGTTCTATACACATTTTAAAGAGCCTCAGACTTTTCCTTTGGGGCGTTTCAACTTTTGTGGCAAACTTAATATATTCTACTCAGGGTATAAACATAATTTGACAGTAATTTAATAATAGAACCTCTTTACTTCTTAAATTAAAATTTGAAATTATAGAAAAAAGTTTAACTCCCTCAAAATCGGGAATCAATTTATATATATATCGATTATATTGATGTTACAAACCACATTAAAACCACCTTCTGCATTACATAATTGGATTCTGGAAGAACTAGTAATTATCAAATTTTAGACAGAAGCAAATGAACTTGTAATATACAATGTTGAAGGTATTATTTCCTCAAAAAAAAAAACAAAAAACATAACATTTGGGTAAACCATAAAGCATACTACTTCTATTACCATTCTCACGAGAGTCAGTCTATATAACCATAACAAACCCGGACTGCCAACTTGGCCTCTACAACAACAACAATTTCTATCGTTATCTTTTTTGAATATGCTGCTACTTACAATTATTGTTAGTGTCGATAAGCCATCACGTTCAATATAAAGAGTAGTTGCATAACCATTCGCAATCCCTATCTGAAAAAGTAAGAGCAAATTACAATATGATTTTAAGTCAAAATATGACTATTTATGTACAATAAATGTGTTTTAAAACTTATAAAATTAGAAACAGCTTATTCCTACCTAATGTAGTGCATTTATAAGAATAAGATAATAAGAAACCCCAAGATCCCTGAGAAGGTTTTCTTATGGCATTGAAAATCCACGAACGAAATTTCCCAGTTGAGATCGACCATATTCGTAATTTATAACAGAGAAGTATAAAGTTATGGGAAGACAGACAAACTTACATGTAGACACATATTATTGTTAAGATGCTTTACTTTGGGGGGAGTAGGGGTTTTAAATTGTTTTTTTTTTTGGCTGGGATTTTGAATACTATCCTCCGAATTCGGGTTTAGAACGGTTATGGATGAATAGAGGAAGTCCTCCAGATTAAGAAAATATATATTTAGTTGCCGCTGACTTATATTTTTGAGATATTTGCGTTTAAAGTTCTAAAATGCAACAATTGAAAATAAGTGTTTCTTCGTTTTATAATGAATTTTACACCTGAGCAAGATCACGTTAAGTGGATCACGTTATTGTCCATTTTATCATAAAAATTAAGTAAGTTGCAGGCATGACACCGGTAATATCATCAGACAAATAAATTTGTTTTTACTAGAATTGTCTCTCTTTTATCCAGCTGTGGCGCAAATTCTGATCATCCTCTAATATCTTTGACAGCTTGTACCATTCTTTTCGAGACTTTGTTACATCATATTGGCCAATCCAACGAAAGAGTATTCAGGACTTGGTTTCTTTCGGTTTTAATATTTGTTTGGTTAAAAGCACACTTACAATTATTCAAAAGAACGTCATTTGGAGTGTTATGATTAATATCAGTAGCTAGTTAGAATAACGCCGATAACCTCGACAATCGTCACAATTTTATAGGCGGTTCACCTCGATCCAATAGTAATTTATTAACGAAATCAATTTTTTATTGATTATCTAGTGTCACATTCTTACCATTTTTGGTCTTCTCAGGTTTACGGCCTTGATAAATTGCTCTCTCACAATAATACACGTGTTACATCTGATAAATTCTTTAAAATTGCGAGCTTGATTCGATGTTATTAAAATTAAATTTTTAGTAACGTTTTTATGACTCTTTTATTTAACAGATTGCAACACTTATTACTCCTCCTACTTTAAAGCATAAAAATTATTATTAATATAAATAAAAATAATATTAACAAATGAACTTATTTAACGAAGAAATTCAAATTACTTTTAATATGATTTTGTTATTTTCAAGGAGACGAAAATAACTATTGAAAATCGAACGAGCGATATATTTTTTTAATAAAATAAACGCTTGACGCTCGGAACACTGTGAGAAATAAATTCATATTGTTTAAACTAATTGCGAGCCTTTGAAAGTTTCTTACGGAATCTTAAAATTAGTTTAATAACTGATGAAAAGAAAGTTCATACCTTTCCCGAGAAAATTAATTTTTAAGATCAAGTTGACAATGAGGAGTCCACTTAATGTGATCTTGCTCACCTATATATTAACTTTTATCCATTTACACTTCGCTAATTCTTTTCTACACATTTGTTTTGTACTTAAAAGTGTAAAAATAACTCTAAATCAATTTTGTTTGCTTGCTTAAATACATTTATTCATACTGTAGCGACTAACGTAAATTTATTAAGAAACCATTACAATGACGCTTGTTGTTGACTGGAGGATATCTTCTGGAATGGTTTTGCTTGGGATAATTGAAAATATTTTTTAGATTAATAATGACATATTAAATCGGGTTGCCAGATGTGGTCATTGGGTGTTCCCACACTACCCTCCTCTAAATGAGACTTTGTGGGAGTGCCCGCAGTGTCGAATTTATTTACTGGTACCGTTGTTTGAAGATAGACATGACGAAGTTTACTGATCGCTCATCTTTGGTCGAGGTGCCCTAATATGTCATCAGTGGCCAGATGTGCGGCTTTAATGTGTTCGTTCATCTTTTTGCCGTTGACTTCGATGGCGTAAACGTTATTAGCAGGACGCTCTAACCAACTGAGCTAATGGGCAAACGTCCGTTCCCACGACAGTCGGGTCTACGTAACCGGAACGGACCCGGATTTATTCCGGCCAAGGACTGTCAACTCGGTAGAACTCTGCCGCTACAACAACAACAGTATATTTTTTTTCTTGTTACACGTACATAGATATGTGTATATAATGTCAACATCATGTACAAAAATTTGCAATAAAAAATGTTGTAAATTTAGCCGTTATTTTTTAGCTGTTTCTTAAAACAATAACAAAAATTGCCCTTGTTTTACGCGATTTAATCCTACTCCCCCCTTAACAATACACAAATTTATTATTTCAAATAAATATAATTACCTCACCCTGAAGTTCTTCTGGCGTTATATCACATGGAATATCTGAGAGTACCTCATCAGATTCTAAAAGTTGTTGCAGCTTAAGTTCAGTGGCCCGAACAAGCAGCTCATGATCCCTCCTTTCAGCATCAAATTTAGGAATACGCGTTTTCCTACGCGGCGTTTTATCTCCGAACGTCAAATGACGTCGCTCACGTTGAGATTGTCGCAACAAATTTATGGGTAATCCTTTTCTATTTCTTTTGCGACGCATGTTATAATAAAACGTTGTAATTATAATAGAAATATGCTTTCAAATCAAATATTTGTCTGATCTGATATTCCTAAATATGTCAAAACGTTTGGAAATATAAACAAACTATGGAATAGGGATGTGGTGAAAACTCTGCTAATAAAAAATTAACGATTATTTAATATCGGACAATATCGACGTATCGATGTTTAAATCTACATTATTCACATGTATCTGTGTTAGGTTTTTCGTACCATTATCACTTAAATAGAAAAAAATATGTTAATTATCTTATAAAAGATAGGCGCTACCAGTAAATACATATGTCAGTCAATAATCTGTTATTCGAACCAGAGCAAACTATTGAAACAAACACAAAATTAATTTTATATATTCCATAGCCCTTTCTAACGATTATGGTAATATTAGTTGTTTTTGTTGTATGGGTTATCTAATCTCCGCTTGGATGGAAACGTTCAATTTGGTTGCCAACAAACTCATCTTATAGGAGGCCCTGGAAACGTGCCTTGGGCATGCAAAAATATGGTTTGCGGGGACTCATTGAAGTCTTTACTACTCGTCCATTTCGTGAATATGGTCGCTGTGCATTTAGTATGGAAAATTGTTGTAGAGAAGAAGCGAGAAAAATGGGAGAGAAAGCTGTTTACTTTTGAGCACAAGAAATCAGTTTCATTGCCTGATGTCAATATCGTACCATCTACTTATATCTGAAAATGAGGTTATGGAAATTCCCTCTGGTGGTTGCGGTAGTTTCGAAATATAGAAGCTATGCAGTAGCGGAGAGAATATACCACCTTGCGGAACTCTCCTAGGTTAGCGGATATCGTAGATTTCAGTAGAGGGAATACTCTTCCGACTTTCCACACATCGTGTAATCTTATTCTCTCCCGTTTACTTTAAACGGTTCCCAATGATACCCTGAAGGGGTTGATATTACGAATGGGTACGACTCAACCAATACCCACAAAATTGTGATTTCCATGTGAAAAAACCCTCAATTTTGGATTTCGTCTTTCAAAATTTTAATAAATTTTTGGATTAACCCTTAGACTTCAGGCTTCAACCTTTTATTGTAGTTTCCGTCTTTTTTGAGCTCCAACAATTATTTTTAAGGCTGACTCTATTCATCCGGTTACTGTACGAATAATTTTTATTTATTTATCCGGTTGCCGTACGAATAATTTGTAATTATTTATCCGGTTACAATAAGAAACGTTGCTGGCGACATACAAGGCAATCGGCCGGCCGGTCCTAAACTATGCAGCCCCAATATGGTCGCCTGAATGTAGTGCTACGCAGACGAAGAAGCTCCAGACCTGTCAGAACACTGCACTCCGGACTATCACGGGATGCCTCTTGATGTCCCTACTTAGGACGCAACGAACTTCAGAGAGGCACTGACCGCCATTCACAGTGGAGCCATGAACACCTTCACCGACTCCCTCTCAGTGAATGGCGTACTACGAGTCAAACCACCACCCATAGAAGACGTAGAGCTCGAGTTGCCTCGCGAAACCAGAGTGACCCTCGCGCAACTTCGTTCTGGATATTGTAGCAGGTTAAACTCCTACTTATCCAGAATAGACCCCGACATACCAAACACATGTCCTGCGTGCAATGAGTCTCCGCATGACACTAACCACCTCTTTGCATGTCCAACGAACCCCACTCATCTAACACCCTTTTCCCTATGGTCCGTCCCCGTCGAAACAGCTCGTTTTCTGGGCCTCCAGCTAATTATCCGGTTCATTCTTTAAAAAAAATATAAATAAAAAAACGAATTTGACCGGATGACTAATTATAAATTATTGACTAATTATAAATTATTCGTACAGTACAGGACTAATAGTCACTGCGTATTTTTAAATATCGTATGCTAATTTTTATATTCTACTCAACAATAACATTTTCTTTTTTTACATCACCAACTACCTCACTGTTAAATAAAATAACAATATTAGAATTTCTTCCTGACAATAGATAAATTGTATTACAATTTTCATTGAAGATAGCAATCGCCAAATCGCGTAATTTATTTTTTATATATTAACATGAGCAATTGCGGTAAATACGTTGATCGCAATCCGACTTTGCGGGCAGCAGGAAAATGTTTTGTCTCGAAAGAGAAAGCGGAAGACGCGCTGCAAATCTTCTCCACGGAAGAAGCAGCGGAAAATATATTGCTCACCAAATGTCGCCTCAGTAACAAGAAAGTAAACAATGATGTCTTACCCTTTCAGCGATATATACCAGAGGAAAACATAAAGGAATTACTTAGTCCTGAATTGAAAAAGAGTAGATTTGTTGTATTTCGCGAAAAATTTGCCGAAAATATGTATTTTAAGAAAGCTGAACTCGGTAAAGTATTTCCATTGGACTCGAAACCACAAAATATTACCAACGATAATACGACCTTTGGGGACTCTACAATGCGATCCGAATCATTATATGATCTCATATTACCGCGGAAGTCTCCAGATGAAGTGAACCGCGATTATATTCGTTGGCATGAAAAGTATATTATCAGCCATGGTCATTATTTACCTTCAGAGCAAATAAGTCGCCAGTAAGAAGTATTTTACTAGATTCATACAACTATTTAGGACTAAAAACAAAATTTAAATTCTTAGTTATAAAAAGCCGTTCGACAAGCACAACCACTTCGGTATAATTTACGATGTAGACTTCAATGGAAAATATGTTAAAAGGGCAATTCAACAATGTGATAATCTTATTGTCATAAGTAAAGCGCAAAAGCAATTCCTTGAAAGGACTTTGGGCCGTTTGGGACGCAGTATTTATAGGTAAAGGAAATAATATCTTAACTCGTCATTGCATCCTTGATCTTAAATTTGAGCTCTAGACTAGAATATTATATTTGTATATATTCTATTCGCTATACTATTTTAAATACTCTTAGTATTTAAATGGGAGTACATTCAAAAACTTTGTTGTGTCTCGGCCCGACTTTTGTAGCTTTACTTTCATAAGTACCTACTATTGCATAAAAGTTGAAAAACTATTAAACTATTAATAGCCTGAACAGGGAATTTTAAGTTTGCCACGATGTTTGTAACACCAAAAAGGAAACGTCGAAGATCCTGTAAAGTATATATATATATAAATAATCAGCGTGAGGAGCTGAGTCGATTTAGTCATCCCCGTCTGTATATACGTCAACTAGCCCCTAAGTTTTTGAGATATCGATCTAAAACACGTTCTTTTCTCACCAAGAAGCTGCTCATTTGTCAGAAACGCCGATATCGTACCTTTATAGGATCTTACATAGAAACCGACTGATCGAAATCAAGTCTTTGTATGACAAACATTATTATTTGACGAAATATTTTTATGAAATAGATCATTTTCCAAGGCATCGCTACAATCTCCGAAAAAATTGTTCAGATCGGACAACTATAGCATATAGGTGTCATACAAACCGATTTAAATCGAGATAAATACAATTTATATATGTAAATATAAAAATCTTTTAATACCATTTATGCTATAAAAAATGCAACTGTAAAGAGTATTACAGCTTTGGTGCAGCCAAAGTTAATGTTTTTTCTTGGTTTCTTTTATTATTAGAGAAAATCGTTATTTAACACCCGAAATGTCTTTCGGTGCACCCTCTGGCGCAGATGAATGTAATGTGAAAGCACTAATGGAAATACAAGATCAGTGTGAACGAACGAGTCCTCTTATAACTGCTTTGGGACATTTAAATAAAGTACGACAGAAGCTATTTGAACGCCACAATTTTCACATGCAAGATTTAAAATTGGCTTTGGAGAATCATGACATTAAAAAAACAGGACTATTAACATTGAAGGAATTATTTGAGATATTGAGGAGAGAAGGCGTTTATTGTAATTCGGAAAAGATAACTACAGCCCTACGTCATTTCAAATTGATTGAAAACGAGGGTCTACCAACAGAAGGTGTCAAATATGAAGAGCTATGGAAACTAATACATGTACAATACCCAATACCAAAAACTGGCAATATATCGAAAATGCCACCAAATATTTATAACAAAGAAACCACCTACCGATTACTTTGTCAAGATCGAAGCAAACCCCCCGTTGAAGCCATACCATCGAAACCCTTCGATCCGGAGAATGCAGAAGAACCAACAACTATCAAAGATGTCATATCTCCTGATATTCCAATGCATTTTGGGCTAGCCCCAAGTGATTTCGCAAAACTGCGCCCCAAAGAGGAACTGCGACGGGTATTTAAACGTTTATTGGATGCGGAAAAATTCGATATTATCTGGGAAACTGCGCAAAATAAATTAAAACGTTCAAACGAATTGATATCAGTAGATGAACTACGACAGACTATGAATAGTCATAAAGATTAATATTGTAAATTGGAAGGTGCAAATCAGACTAATACCAAGTATTTAAATTTCATTTAAAATCTATTAAACGACAATGTTTGTAGATACTTTTGAACCTTAAACGATTTTTGATTAATTAAAATTTTTTTTGTGTACGATTTAAAATACAAACATTTATGAATGTAGAAATTTATGTGTAAGTAAAAATTATAGCTCTTATCCTGATAAAGTTTAGTGAATATACTTTTTTCAAAATATATCTGACATGTACAATATCGGTTCTTTAACATAAAAAAATCCACAAAAGCTCTAAAGCCTATTTAAGTCTATTGTCATATTAACTGCAACGATTATCCACGTTCTTTCGAACCATTTCGCGTTGATCGCACACTACGTTTGTCATAATAATTACGGTCTTTACGATTGCGATCTCGGCTGCGACTACGGCTACGACTGCGTTGCCGTCTGCTCTCACGATCCTTTCGTCGTTCTTCGTCAGAATAACGAACATGTTCTTTGGGACGTTCCTTTCGCTCACGTATTTGTTCTTTATCTTCTCGCTTTCTGTCAGCAGGTGACTTATCTCTTTGCCATCTGTTTTCCATATGCCTGTCAGAATATCGGTTATTGTTCCAACTCTTCTCGTCAACATTACGCCCATTTCGTTCCGATTTGTCTCGTTTATCCCTTTTTGCTTTGCTTAATTTTTTATTTTCCTCATCATCATTACGTTGATGATGTCGTTGCATTTTATCCAGTTTATCTTCTTTTACTCTACTC